GTATGTGTACTGTTCCTGAAATATTGTGAAAGCTCAATACTGCCAAGCTCTGACAACTTCTCACAAGAAGTTGGTAACCTGGGTTCGGGGAACTCAAAATATTTTCAAGTGCAAGCACTCTTGAACTGAAATATCAGGATATTCCTGCACCTTCCCTTAGTTAAAGGAGGACACAGCGTTCTGCCATCACACTGGTGCATTACAAAGGAGGAGATGGGTACGTGTTCAGGGTTACACAGATATCAGCGAGTCCTGAAATCAGAGTGCAGAATGAGAGATAATGTTCTCTTCCCCAGTCTCTCGGTATGTGAGGTTTCTGAACTTTAAAACAGTGCTATACTGATTACAAATGTCTGTAAAACCTCTCCAGCACCCCAACAAAGGGAAACAGAATGTCCTTTCTTACTTTGAAAATACATGAGGGGCATGAGTGTGAAATTGCCCCACGAATCAGCGATGTTTGAGACCAGGAATCCCTCCCATTCATATGGAGAGATGCAGTTGTATTGTTGTGAATAACAGCTGGAGTTTTTTGTTCTTGCTTTGATTTTTCAAGTAGATGTAATTGCATTAAAACTAAAATAGTTCCGTTAACTGGAGTGGAAACTAAATTTACATCATTTGCAACAAAATCCAAATGAAAGTTATCACCTTAGAGAGCTAACCAGGTGATTTACGTCCCCTCTCAGAATTAGGTTTGTAGGTGTACATCTAAGTCAGACAATAAATAGGGTGGTAAAACGTTTTTTAATTGGAACATCAGGAGGATGCTCTTTTTGGAGGATGAAAAATTAGCTGAAAAAAGATGATTTTCAAATTTCCCTGTTGATATGTGCCGTGACTAAGAAACGAATACCAGGACCGACACACACTGCTCCTCCCCTTCAGTCCAGCCCATGAGAGCAGTGACTGGCTTGCCAGACGTGTCAGCAGAGAGCCGGGCCTGCCTGTCGCTGGAAGCCTGGCCCGATTATGGAATTTACTCAACAGACTGGTGGGCAGCTTGTTTATTGGGGATTAGAGGCAAAAGAAATGAATCATAATTTAAGTCAACTCCTCCGTCTCGCTCCCCGGCTCCCCCTCTCCGGGTTTAGAGCCCATATGCTGCTGTCAGGGATTATCGCTGAGAGCTAGGGGTCAGGCTCACAAAGACCTCTCCTTCTCTCCACCCCTCTCTTTCCCTCCATCTTGGTTTTCTCGTCCTCTCAGTCGGTACCGGGCTGTGTTTGACTGTGATTGAGGCTGAGGCCATTGGAAGGGAATTCCCTTTCATACATTTCTGTCATCTCTTTCCATTCCTTCACCCAGAATACCGTGCTGGTCTAGGGTAATGGATGTTATTCATACACGGCCCAGCTCTTAATGTCTCTCGCTCCACATTTAGTATTCCATTGTGCTGCTCTCTTTCTCCTGTGCCCTCTTTACCTACTTCTCCAATATTCATGTGGTCTGACAGTCACACTGTGCTCTTTTTCAGAGATCTTCTCCCAGCAGGGTAGCATGGTGTTGGTCTGTTTGGCAAGCTGATAGTTCACTTTGGGCTGTGACTGTCCACAGACCTCCAGCTCAGGAGAGGGTCTGTGTTTGGACACACTGGTGACAGTGGAGAATCTCTTAGCCAATCCAGTGCCCTCCGCCACGAGCGTGATCACCCACAGACCCTGCACCAACACACTGGACAAGCTGAGATGTTCACCTGCACGATGTGTCACTGTCGTGACGGGTACCTGTATGTAATGGAGATGTGCTGTGCGAGTGTGTCAGAGTACCAGAGTGTGAGCGTGATGGTATAACAATGCAGTGTGTCAGAACAGAAGTGTGACTTTGTGAGTGTGTCACTTTTGAGAAGAGTGGAGTGGGTTTTAATTTTTTCACAGTAAAGCAAATAGGGTTTTAGGGTTTCACTCAGAGGCCACTGCTCCACTTTAATGCCTGCACAATCCCCAAGATAGAACCAGAATCCCACCATATTTAGTGCTCAATTTATGTAGTTCCCCAAATACACTGCTGTCACCTTGCAATATTGTTTGATTGTCCTACAGATTCAGCAATCAACTACACAAGAATAAACTACTTCCTGAGACACCAAAGTTACATTACATAGGATGCCCTGATATGGGATGGGTTCACAGGTGAGTCGGTGGTTGAACTTTTACTAATGACAGCTGGTGAATTCAATGTTGGAATGATATACAGGAAGTGGCATGATTACATGATTGCTGTCTTCAGTCAAGACTATGTTACCATTTAAAACTTTTCTGTGTCCATTGTGTGTACATGTGTTATTGGTGATGACCATGGAAGGGGGAGGGAACACAATGGATTTATCAATGTCTGTAGTGCAGTCAGATGTGATAGTGTATTTGCTGGTGAATTCAATGCTCTACAGCACAGGTGTGACTCTAGCAGAGTCTAGAGCACAGACAGGTGTGACTAGCAGAGTCTAGAGCACAGTCAGGTATGGTTCTAGAAGAGTCTAGAGCACAGTCAGGTGT